GGTTAAAGTCAGGTAGGTAGGTAATGAGAATCCTCCACAAGGCATCAGCATGGCCCCATTATTGTGAAGCCCTGGACGCGGCCAACAAGATTTGTGCATCCTGTGTCATGCATTTCTCCCTGGCTCAGGCCCTGCTTTGTCCCAACGCCATTCACATGCCGACAGGTTTCGACGTTTCTTAGAAACATTTGGTGCGAGGGGACAGACATTCGTCGGCAATATGTGGGGCATGGCGGGGGCCAATCAACGTATTTTGGACGCGGGTACCCCGTACTTGCAGAGTCTGACGTTGAGAACTGCCAAATCCAGACCGGACGATATTCTGCAACGAGGCTCGGGCATCAGCAAATGCAAGATGCAAATCGAGGTCCAAATTGTCCGCATAGAGGGATTGTCCATGTGGCTGAAGTCATAGACGGCCAAGCCTTAAATGGAGGACTCCATGGAGCATAACGACGTCGTCCCTGAAAGGGAGTGATGAACTAGCCCAGGCGCTGCAGCAGTCAACAAAGCAGTCAAGTCAAGTGTATTCTCTCCACTAGAGTCTGGTGCCATTGTAGCGTGAGGGGGGGACATGGATGCTGCATGTGTCTCGTGCAGGTAGGTGGTACATGCCGCCGCGAAACGACAGGCCCGAGAAAGCCCCAACAACGTGTTCTTGCCAAGGGTTGTGAGCCACCGTCGTATGTACATATACCGATGATGTGCGGTTCAACCGCCGGGGACGCCAAACTTCTGGGGGTCGAGAAACGCCGCCAAAGCCAACCGCCTCAGCCCATGCGAGGAAGTAGTATCACTGCCGACTGGAGTGTTGCAGCCAGACTGCTCGGCTGAGCAAGGTCTAACACGGCCCCCCCTTTAGCCCATCGCCAGGCAGCCAGGGCCGAGTCAACCGTCAAATCACTCTGGCGGTGGACAGGCGGAAATGCGCCAGACTCGATGCATGTGCGGACTCCGCTTTAGCTGGGCAATTGCTGGCTGCTTCATGACTTGACTGCTCAGTCAGGGCTGGGGCGTCAGCGTCATGGTATCCAGCCAAGGATCCCCAACGTTCGGCTGACAACTTTGCCTCTTTCCATCACCGTCGTGAAGCAGGTGTTTCGCCCCCATCATTGTCGGCCGTTGTCCCAGTAGACGCTCCGCCGATATATCTTCATCTTTTGCGCCTGTGCCGCAACCCCACCGTCCGGGAGGGTCCGGCCGTCCGTTCTTCAGCACCAGACTCTATCCCGACAAACCCTCCAACTGCAACCGCGCGACCGACCTGGGCGAGCAATATCCCCATCTTCCCTCGCCGCCGCCGCCAACGACCATGGCTGGCTCGTCAGACGACAACGGCTCGTCCAGCAATGGCCACGGTGGCCACCAGGGCCAAAGTCCCGACGTCGAGAGCACTGTTCATGTGCGAGAACCAATCCCCGACAACTCCAGTGTTCCCAAGCCGAAGCGGCTGGCATGCATGATTTGCCGAAAGCGCAAGCTCAAGTGCGATGGAGTTCGTCCAAGCTGTAGCACATGCTCGCGATTGGGTCACTCTTGCGCCTATGACGAACAGCGGCGAAAGAGCGGTCCCAAGAGAGGATATGTCAAGGCCCTCGAAGAGAGACTGAGTGAGTGCAGCTCCCCGAGCCGTCACGGCTTGTGGCCTGACTCGTTTGTGCAAACATGAAAGCAAGTGGCTAAAAGAAGGCTAACCGAGATTCCTATGCGTAGAACAAGTCGAGACCTTGTTAAAGACCCAAGATCCAGTGCCGGCCATCAATAGCCCAAACACCAAAGGCATCAACATGTCCATGCCTGGAGCTCACAACCCACAGGCGGCGACACCAAATCTTGGCGTCGCTAGTGCATCCATGGGGATGGGAGGTGATCGCGACATGGACAATAGATGGCAGCATTTCAATGGCGAGTCTCCGCAAGCCGGAGCCAACATGGAAGACTTCAACTTCAACTCCAACATGGGCATGCCCATGAACAACGTTGGAGGAGGCAATTTCACGTGGGAAATGATTGGCCTTGGGCTCGAAGAACCGTTGCCGCCGCAGGAAACCATTGACGAACTCCATCAAGTGTACTTCGAGAAAGTTCACCCGTCCATGCCCATGATCCACCGCTACCGTTATCTCGCGGCCATGAACCTGTAAGTGCTGCACCAGCGTCGCGCGATGAATGCAACTAACCACATGCAAATAGGGCGCCAAATCAGCGACCGCCAGTGTGCTTGCGATATGCCATGTGGACTTTGGCATGCTCCATCACTGATAAATATGCAGATTTAAAAGACCTGTTTTATCAGAGAGCGCGCAAGTATGTTGAGGCAGATTATGTAAAAGGATATGGCGAGCACATGATTTCTGTCGCACATTGTCAGACGCATATCCTATTGGCCGCTTATGAAATGAAGATGATGTACTTTCCCCGTGCTTGGATCAACACCGGTTCGGCAGTCCGTCTTGCCCAGATGTAAGACCCCCAATTTCTTCTGTGACATCTATTGAAATCAGCTAACGTTTCCTCAGGATCGGTCTACACCGGTTAGACGGTACTGGGCTGGATGTCAAGCAATGTCTGCCCCCGCCCAAGGACTGGACAGAGCGCGAAGAGCGGCGGCGCACATTTTGGATGGCTTTCTGCGAAGATCGATATGCAAGCATTGGTACCGGATGGCCAATGACGGTTGATGAAAAGGATATCATGACCAAGATGCCAGCTTCTGATGAGGCCTTTGACATGAGCCGGCCCGAGCAGACGCTGACCTTGCAAGAATGCACTGGCCCGCCCGGTGTCGGTAAGCTTTCGTCGTTTGGTGGCGTTGTACTTATGGCATGTCTATTTGGACGCAATCTCATACATCTTCATCGACCGGACGATGACGATCTCGACCATGACCTCAACGGCCCCTTCTGGAAACGGCATAGACAGATGGACAATGTCCTCCTGAACACGTCGCTAGGCCTTCCCGCCCACCTGAAGCTGCCCAACGGACTGTCAAGCCCCAATGTCATCTTCACCAACATGAGTATCCATACGTCAACCATTTGCCTGCATCAAGCTGCCATCTTCAAAGCTGATAAGAACAAGCTTGCGGCCTCGGTTAGCTCAGAAAGTAAAGTGCGTTGCATCACGGCTGCAAACGAAATTGCCAGCATCATGAGAACGATTTCTCATATGGACTTGTCATCGGTACGTGCCCGCGGCAACGGCAAACGTAATAAATACTAGGTCGTCTAACACAGGCTTGCAGATGAATCCGTTTATTTCCTTCTGCCTCTATGTAGCAGCTCGAGTTTTCGTTCAGTATCTGAAGAGCCGCCCCGATGATACGCAAACGGCCGATTCACTGCGCTTTCTCCTATCAGCCATGAATGCTCTGAAACGACGGAACCCATTAACAGAGTCTTTCTTGGTACAGCTTGATGTAGACTTTGAAGCGCTCGCTATGCGTATTCCGAAGTTGAGAAACGCCTTCCGCGGCGGAGACAGTGTAAGTACTCGTCATTATCATGAACTGATACTCGGTCAGAACCAAGCTAACAATGCCAACTAGCCCCACTTCGGAAGCAAAGTCGAGAATGCCGGACCACTTTGTTCAGACCCTGAAAGTGTTCAAGGAATCTTGGCGTACCGAGGGGAATGTCATTTCATGAAATCACAAGGCGACGATGGGAATCCAGCTACAGCGCCCGACCTAGTCGACAGCCAAGGCGACAACACGGCTGGACACGTCTCAGCCACCAACGCTGGATTTGGCGGGGGACAGCCCTGGCTCGCGACAGACCAAAACCCGGTGCCCGTTTTGACGCCGAGTTCTGGAACCATGTATGAAAAGGGCGGCTCCGCCAGCGGTCACGTTCCAGGCTATGAAGCAAATGGCGATGGTCACGATAGAGCAGGCTCGCCCGAAGCCGGACAGTCGAATGGCCCAACACCAAACTCAAGCGGCGGCGCATCAGACGCAAAGTCGCACCTTGCACCCGGAAACTTGGGCGGCTCGGGACGAGAAAACGGCTTCCACCCAAGTCCCATCGCGTCCCAGCCAAACTTGATGAACCAGGGCGCACCGGCGGATGCCGGCAATCACCAGGGCTTCTTCGGCGAGTCGCTTACGTTTGCCATGAACCACAACATGGCTGGTCAGCAAAACGGTTTTGCCGTACCGCAAACCTGGGCACCCGAGATGAATGGCCAAGCACCACCTCCCAACATGACACCAGTTGGCGAGGGAGTGCTTCGGGCACTGATGAACATGGGACCAATGGATGCCATGGACCTGTCATCGTGGGACTCGGGGCAAGATAGCGCCATGCGAGGCTGATTGGGAAACTCTTGGGGTGACAAGGAACAGGAAAACAAAATAAGCAGCAATGCGGACAAGGCATTCGGTGGTAATAATTCTTTTAGCGAGGTCGCCAAGATTCTTTGGGAACAGAGGCGTAATGGGAAATCCAGGGCCGGCAGGGAAGCCCGCGCTTTTCTCGGTTGGTTTGGATATCGGCGTTTGGACTTGTGCTTTCACTACCCTCTCTCTATCTGTGTGTGTTCACTTTGGAATGACAACTGTATCATATGGGCGGAGATTCCATGCACATCTAGCTGGGACTATCGACCAAATATTTTGTGAACGAATTGAATGAATATGGCTCTTGATAATACATTTATCACAAACACAATTTGAGACTTGTCAGTTACAGGGTTCGTATGTATGTATAAGTCTATATGCATGTATATAATTGTGTACGGTCTTGTGCACGGCTATTTTATGCATATCCAAAATTATCCACCTGCGCCACTGGAGAACCGTGTGGTCCGTGCGCACATCGCCGCTCTTCTCCCCAACGGCCACAAAAGGGCGTACATAAATGCCTCATCCGCATCGCATCCTTGGCCAGACGTAAAAGCAGCACCAGACCAGCGAAAGGTACGAGGCCCCGCTGGCCTGTTCTAACCAAACCGTCCTAGTACTGCATCCAGAGCCCTCCCGGCGCCCTCTCTATTCCAGCATGGCTGCTCCCGGCTCCCGACCCGAGGAGGGAGCGGGGCTGCCGGGCATGGGGCAATTCCGTCTTGATATCGGCGTCGGGATAGATGGTGATGCTGGCCCGGACGACGACTACCGGCCGTCGCCCGACGCTTCGTCTGGGCGAGCGCCTGCTCAGGGACAGCATGGCGCCGCCGCCGGGGGCCAGTTTGGTATCCTGGCTCCCCCGACGATGCTGAGCGGCGCCATGGAAGGGCACAGCGACGGGGCGCGGCACGTCTCGTTTGCCGCGGACTCGCACGAGACGCAGCGGAAGAGACCTGGGAAAATCGTCGTGGATCCGCCGGATTTACGCGCCTGGAGGGAGAAGCTCTTCAACGTGGATTCCATGATTGTCCTGACGGACGAGCAGTATGGCCTCCTCCTCTTCCTCCTGCTTGCTTATTCGTATCCCCCCGTCGGCAGTCGTGTTTTTTTTTTTTTTTTCGGAAAGAGTGCTTTTCGTGGTGTCATTTCTCCAAAAGGGCCATGCTGTTACGTCGCCAGCTAACAAACACCACCTAGATTCGAGACGTACTTCCCCCACGTGGACAACGTCTACTCGCACCGCTCAACGCAGCGCTACAAGCGCAAGCCGTTTGTCTCGCACTACTGGGACTGCCGGATGAAGGGCCGGCCGCCGGGGACCCCAAAGTCGGACGACCCGTCCAAGAAGAAGCGCAAGAGGAGCGCGCGCGAGCGGGACCTGTGCGACGTCAAGATCCGCATCACCGAGTACTTCCCAAACGCCAGCGCCTACGTCGACCGCGAGGCCGCCGAGGCCGTCGCCGCGGCTGGCGCCGCGCTGCCTGCCGGGCAGAGGTTCTGGACGATTCAGCGCGTCAATGGGAACGGCGGGAACGGCAAGGGCGACGGGGTGGCCGGTCCGCACCGGCACACGCTCGAGACAAGTGACGAGATCAAGAAGAATAGCGTGCAGCGCCATGTGGCGAAGCAGGAGAAACAAGCGAGGCAGATGCAGGTATGTCTCCTTTTTTGGGTGGAAGGCTTCCTCGCTGGTTCATTGCGCGCGCGTGTCGAAGTCTAATCTTGAGGGCTGCAGAAGGGCCGCGCGCCGCTGAGAAAGGCAACCGGCGTGGCGGCGACGCTTGTGAAGAAGCATGCAAAAGAGCACGACTTGAAGCTCTACTCCTCCTGTTTCTGGTACGCCCGTCCCCTTGCACAAGTCGTGCCCGTGGAGAAAAATTCGCTAAGCTGGCGCAGCCCCTTCTCCCAAAGGGTGTGGATAGCCCTCGAGGCCAAAGGCCTATCCTATCAATATTGCGAGACCGACCCGTCCAAGGCTCCTCCCGCCGCGCCCAGCGAGACGGTACCAGCCATCCGTCACGGCGACTGGTCTTGTTCCGAGAACGCCGTGATCCTCGAATACGTACGTCTTACTTACCCCTGCCAACCCAACGCCTCCTCCTCCTCCTCCTCCTTCCACTGCTGACGGCAAAACCCCTTCAACAGCTCGAAGATGTAGACGCGAGCACGCCCCTCCTCCCCTCGGATCCAAAACTGAAAGCCAGATGCCGCCTCTGGATAGACCATGTACGTCCGCGCCTCTGGACCCTTCCCGTGTTTCGGCACTAAGAAAACCTAGGTCAACTTCCGCATCGTGCCCGCTTTCTACGACCTACTGTTCTCCCGGGATCCACCATCCCGGAGCGAATCTACCCGCCGTCTCCAGAGACATATTGCTAGCCTCGTTATCGCTGCTGACGAACAGGGTCCCTTCTTTACAGGGTCGGCACTGAGCCTTGTGGATATTCACTTTGCGCCGTTTGCTTTACGTCTGTCCAGGATATTGAGGCCGCTGAAGGGCTGGACGGACCCCATGCCTGGAACAAGGTGGAATAGATGGCTGGATTCGTTGGAAAGAAACGTGCACGTCAAGGCAACGACGAGCTTGGATGACTTGTATGTTAGTACGGTGGGGCTCCTTGCTTGGAGGGCTCAATAAGCCTGCTACGTGGAATGATCCATGTTTACGCTTCTACCAAAAGACGTTTGGTTGCTTTTGCTTGATCATGGTTGTTAATGTTGAGAAGGGGGGATGGGTGGCAGATAGTGCATCCAGCGATCAGCCTAGGGTTTGGAGTTCTCTGGAGCTTATTATGGTCTATCGATCGTGGTATATATACAATTGGGTATCTGATCCAAACAATCGCTAACATTACGGGTTGTACATAAACACAAATACACAAATCAACAAACCGCCGACAAACAAATGTGTAGTTTAAACTTTATGATGCCGGTGACTCATTGCGTGGATGCAACGGCCGTCTTCGTTTCAAATTCTCCCACTTCTCCCGAATCGCAACCGACTCGCCATTCTGCCGCGCCCTCTCACGCCCTTCTCCCAATTCTTCCAGGTCCTTCGTCACTAAGAACCTCTTCCCTTCGTCTTCTATCACGCGCTGCGAATCAGGAAGATATAGCCACGAAAATATGGCGCCAATGGCTGCTACTGAGCCGAAAAGGAGGAAAATGAGGCCTTGTCTTGTTTCGCTCTTGTAGGTAGAGTTGATGCCGTACACTACGAGGACAGCTACGATGCTGCCAAGTTTGCCAGAAGCCGCGGAGATGCCGTGGCATGTGCAACGGTAGCACGTTGGAAAGATTTCAGCCGGAATAATAAAGGTCAATGTGTTTGCGCCTGGAAGAGAATGTCAGTCCTGGCCAAAGCGAACGGAACCTTGATCCGACCGAGTTGATCACGTACCAAAATTAAATACGAAATGGTTAATGGCGACAAAAACAACTGTAGCAGGTGCAGCGGCTGAGCGGTGGACGCCATAGTACACGCCACCAGTAATCATCAGGAATATCGCCAGTATAAGAAAAGAGGCAGTGAGCCAGTGCCGACGAGGCAATCGGTTTGCAAAGTAAATGAAACAAACGCTTCCGGCGATGGAGGCAAGCGAGACCGTCAGAAGATATTGCTTTGTCTGCTCAATTAGAACGTCATAAATTGTAGCACATGGGTGCAAGACGTCAGTTTGCCATACAGGAATTCCTGTCTTCTTCCACTGCGGAACAGTTGAATTGCCCCCAGGGATCGACGAATTCCAGCACTCAAGATTCTCGTCAATGGGCATAGGGGCTCTGGTTGCCCACATATCTGACAAGGTTCTCCTGTTGTCCAGAGATAGGCCGTAGAAACTGACATCAAGAACAAACCATGTCATAGATGTTCCTAGCAAATAGTACCAGTTTTTATCCCTGATGAAGTAGTTGTACATATCTTCCTTGGAGAATTGAATCGGCATCGGTCTAGGGGATAGTTGCGGTTGTACGCCGTTTTGATTTTGCATCTGAAAGGAGTTTCCGAGGGCGCCGCCCGCAGGCGCACCATATACTCTCTGGGTGTTCATGATAGCCACGGCGGGTTTGTTGCGGACCTCGAGACTGTATAGGCCACAGTCAAAGAGGAAGAATCGGAAAATGATGGCAAGAAGGGCAGGAATAGCCCCCGAACCGATGACAATGCGCCAAATGCCGTCGACAGCCTTCCGACACTCTTCTGCATTCGCCGTGTTAAGGCCACACTGCAAAGCCTGAAGGTTGTTGGAGCTATTAAAACCAAGCAACACCCAGAGTCCTACCAGTTGAGCTAAAGCTTGTCCAACAGGTTGCATGAGAAATACACTGGAGAGCATAGTGGCTCTAGATTGCGTACTTGACCACTCGGATGTAATCACAGCACTCAATGGGTACTCGGCGCCGATTCCTAATTCACAAAGGACTGTCAGATGACGGTCGGCCGTTATCAGTGACGGGATAGGTCAAGTTTCCGCGTACCAATTCCCATGACAAATCGCCACCAAATAAAGAGTCCCAAAAATGACAAGTCGCCAACCCCACGACTGCTTGTGGCAACTCCAATGGTTGACACAATAACCAAAACCAATTCGATCCCGTATAGGCGAGTACGACCAAAGTAATCTGCGAGGAATCCGAAAAGAAGCTGTCCAATGACTGACCCTAGCAAGGTGAAGAGATTGATGAGAAGACTGGGCCATTGTCCGCCATCTGGATAATATACGAAGGCAACGGAGGCAAGGATAACGTTTGTGGAAAATAAGTTGTATCTGCGGCAGAGTACGCATTGATCAGTGTAAGTCGTGTGAGTCGTCGTTATCACGTGGAGGAAAGGTGTCTCAGATGCTACAAATATACGTACGAGTCGGTAAGAAAGCCGGAAGCCGCAACACCCCAAATGCGTAGGTTCCATGCGTTGAGGTCCAACTCATATCGAAGTTGGTGGCGATCCTAGAGATGAAATGTCATTAGCAACCCCGCTATTGCCTCTGACTTGGAAAAGGAATGCAATTATTCGCCGCACCTGCGAATCCTGTGCGGATAGTGCAGAACTGTCGGACCCAAGAAAACCTCGATTTTTGCGCCGAGAAGGCGTCAAGTCTGTCGGCATATCGTGTTTGTGCAGCCTCGAAGCTCCCTAGGCAGGACGACGAAGCTAAGGCGAGTAGGAGCGCAATAGGTAGCGCTGAGGGCCAGGAGAGGACATTCGGGTTCGCTTCCTCCACGTCGTCGGCTTCGTTTTTATTCCCCCGTATGTATCGTCTTGGCGAAAAGTGTCGCCAAGAAAGACCTCACGACACAACTCGTGGAGGCCCGCACCTTGTCGCTAGCATATTTAAAGTGAAAGGGTCAAGAAGTTGGTGTGCGACGGATGATGAGTTGGGTGAACAAGGATCACCAAGCAGTCAGACGGGTGACTGAGCGGCTGGCTGGGGCGCTTTGGGGGCGGAGATGGACAAACGCAGCGCAGCGCAACGCCTCGGCAGAGACGTTTAAACGTTCAGGCAGTTGTTAAGGGGCTCGTCCACTTGTTCGCTGACGAGTACATACAACATACAATACTTGGCCCAATGCACAGTATCATCCTCAGTGCCAAGCTACCGGGACCTAGTTGGCGTGCAGCGGCTGAGAAAATGAATGGAGAGCTCCTCCCACGTCGTAAATTGCCCGCCCACACGGGTCTTTTCTGGTAGAGTATGTATGATGAACTGACAGGACAGTGATCCATTCGAGGCGGCATGTAACACAAGCATGAAGCTGTCTGCGGGCACGTGGAGTCATGGACCCTTGGCCGGTGGGGGATCGAGTTGGGAGCTAATGCCTTGAAGGCGTCGACTAGGCTCGAACCTGCAAGCCTCGTCTCCAAGCCGCATTGGCCGGTAGTTGTGGCTTGCTTGTAGGTGTCGTCAAGTATTATCCAGACAATGTACGGAGTATGGTTCGAAAAAGTCATTGCAGTATGGTGGCACCGGCGTGCACTCCGAGGCCTGTATTGTGCGAGGCAGACGGAGCTTCGAGGGGTCAGGCCGTATTGCGCGGATACCCTGTTCTCTTTGACTCGGTGGTCCCCAGGTAAAGGTCTGCCTGGTCTGCTTCCATCATGCAATACAATGTTCATATATATACACGTTGCTCAACAGGACAGACAAAGCCGCGGGATTCTTTTAGAGTTCGAATGGCGAGTAGGTTGCAGCCACCTTTAAACCCGAACAAAGTTGTAGATAAGCAAATACTGGGTAGCCAGGTTGCCAGAGGAGCACACTGTATTGGGCGTCGACGAGGAGTGCTGAACCCTTGCAAGCTCGTGTCGCCAGTCGTGTGCCATATCCCTCTCCATGTGCAATGCGGAGGCGGTTTGGTCAAGTGCGTCAGAGCTGTGTCGAGATGATGATGGTTGTCGGTCGAGTGGGTGCTGGATAGGTTCAATGTTGGTCGTTGAAGAAGTGGTGGGTGCAAGTTCGGTCAGCCCGTCACGATGTTGCTTTGGACCTCGTGGGCGGCTCTCCCGCGTTTAGTGGTACAGATCGGGCAGTGGGCCCTCTTGGCAGCGACCACTGGCGGCCAGATTGGACGAATCCAGACTCCGTGGCTGCTGCTAAGCCTGAAGGTTGGTCCATCCTCCCGCTCCGCGCAACGCGGGACGTGGACAGTGTGTGACTGGGCGCCTGGCCCCGGGAGCTGGACGCCGTGCGCGGTGCTCCGTACTCCGGTCTTTCAATGCTGTCTGGTGCAATTGATGCTCGAACTTGTGGGTGAGTGACAAATAGGTCTCGGAGCCATTCAACGTTGATGTCTGTACTCCGTACACAGTATGCAGTCTCAATGCTCGGCTCAAACCCCAGGTGCATTGTCTATGTACCTAGGTGTCCGATATCTGGACCCGTGCACGACATAGGCAGCTGCGCACAATTGCACTTGCCGTTGTTGGCCATCATGCTGACTGACCGGGTATCAATTCAATTGTATGTCACTTTATGAGCTGGGTGCTCCATGTCCAGGAGACCTGTCATGTTGGCAACATTCATTCATGCATCGATGTGTTCTTGCATTCCTCCGTCCTCCGTGTTCTTACTCTTTCTCCTACTGGTGTCGAGCATCCAAGACACCATCTTGAGCCCACATCAATGTTTAGTGTTTAGCCTTGAATCTCCATTTCCTGCGCGCGTCTTATTGATCGACACGCTGCTCGACACGCCCGCACTCCGATTCGCTTGCCAACAGTCTCGCAGGACCTGTGCCCTGTCAACCCGTGCCCAGATGGGTCGACATCGTGTGTCCGTGGCTCTCAATGCTCTCGATGCTTGCTTGTGTGGATCCTGCCCCAGCAACTATAATCTCGACATGCCCCGAACATGGAGCTCCAACTGTCTGTTGGTGCCAGACTTTGCTTAAGTAAGTAGCCAACCAGGCACAAAGTACCTGACGTCTCGTGCAATATTCGCCGGCCACGCTGGAGCTGCTCCAATTGTCGCTCCTTGTTTCACGTGTGCGTGGGCGTGGGCGTTTTACGTTTTCGCCGCAACGCCCAATTCCCCAATTGCTCCCCATCCCCATTTTACCGGCCCAACTACTAGCTCCAACGGGGGCCGGCCAAGGGCAAAGTGAACCAAGCGGGAAAAAAGAGGCAGAGGAAAAAAG